CTGTCCGAGTGCCCCTGCTTTAGGTCCGTCAGGACTACGCAGGAGTTCCTAGAGGCTGTTGTTGTGCCCTATTCCATCCTGCCCTCTGCCTCCATAGGTCGCCTTATCCTGCCCATGCTCTTTCCTGACCTTGCGTCTTTCCCCACTATCGCTAACCGTGCCGCCCACCTGCGCACGCTAGACACGACCTAGTGCGCTGCCTGCACTGAGGCTCAGCTTCGTATGTTTCAGCCCCCCATATGCTCTACCCTCCACCTGCTAGCCACTCGCCTCCCTGACCGCCTTGCCACCGCCCACGATCACTTCCTTAGTCTCCATCCCGCTGACCTCACCCTCACTGACTTTGTCGACACCCTGTCTGCCATAGAGACTCGTCAGCGCTCTATCGCCCAGTCTAGCGGTACCGTGCCAGTCTCTATCTTTCAGGGCTGTGCCCCTGCTCGGTACTCTTACTCCGACGGTTCTGCTGCGGTTGTTGAGACAGCCGCCGCAGTGCAGTTTTGTCCGGGTAAGCGTCGCCGCCCCAAGGCTGGGCGCGGCGGAGGTAGCGGAGGAGGGGGTGGTGCCGGTGGTGGAGGTGGCTCGCCCGCTGGTAGTACTGACGAGGGGGCTGGGGCTGGTGCCCCAGAGCAGCAGCCCAAGCAGCAGCAGCAGCGGGCTCCGCACCTGGACCAGCAGCAGCAGCAACGGAGGCTCGGCCGTCTCCTGTCTGGGTGGCCTGGAGCTGGAGGTGACGGTGGTCGCAGTGGTCGCTCGCGCGGCATGTCGTCGAGTGGTAGTCAGAGTGACTAGCGCTGCCAGTAGACCGGTCCTCGCCGCGGCCTCGTGTGCGGTAAGATCGGCCATACCCCCGCTCGTTGCTTTCATCGCCTCGACGACCTGTTTTGTCTCCGCTTCGGCCAGTCGCCTGACCTCCCCGACTGGCACAGTCTGCTCCGTCGACGTGTTCAGATCTTTGATGTGGACATGGATGAGATTAGCTCTACTTTATATGCGCTGTATGTTTATGACTCTAGTGTGACTGGTTCCTATTACCCTGTGTTGCCTAGCGTAGGTGGGCCCAGTGTACCTACTTCAGGCTCCCCTGATGCGTCACGCTTAGGATCCCCTGCCTTGTTTAGCCCTGGGTCCTCCCTTGCTCCTCCGACCTCTGTCGCCGCTGCCGCGCTCTCCTTCACCCTGGACTCTGGCGCTTCCCGGTGTTTCTTTCGCGACTCCACGACGCTTACGCCGCTTGCCGCTCCTGCTGAAGTTGCTCTAACAGACCCTTCCTCCGGTCCTGTAGTCACCCGTAGCTCCACTACTCTCCCCTGACCGGCGGTTCCCTCAGGCTCTCTTACAGGTTTGCACATCCCCTCGTTCTCTAGGAACCTAGTTGGTGTCGGTTGCCTCTAGGACCTTGACGTCACCACTACGTACCCTAGGCACGAGCGGTACGCTGTCTGTACCGAGGCCGCCACTGGTGCCCCCCTCACCACGTTCCCCCGGGACCTGGTGTCTGGCATGTTCATAGAGACTCGTCAGCGCTCTTTCGCCCAGTCTAGCGGTACCGTGCCAAACTCTATCTTTCAGGGCTGTGCCCCTGCTTGGTACTCTTACTCCGACGGTTCTGCTGCGGTTGTCGAGACAGCTCTGGCTGTGAAGACAGCCGCCGCAGTGCAGTTTCGTCCGGGTAAGCGTCGCCGCCCCAAGGCTGGGCGCAGCAAAGGTAGCGGAGGAGGGGGTGGTGCCGGTGGTGGAGGTGGCTCGCCCGCTGGTAGTACTGACGAGGGGGCTGGGGCTGGTGCCCCAGAGCAGCAGCCCAAGCAGCAGCAGCAGCGGGCTCCGCACCTGGACCAGCAGCAGCAGCAACGGAGGCTCGGCCGTCTCCTGTCTGGGTGGCCTGGAGCTGGAGGTGAAGGTGGTCGCACTGGTCGCTCGCGCGGCATGTCGTCGTCAGCAGCAAAATGCGGTCGCTGAGCAATGCATCAGTTTGGTCATGGAGGTTGCTCGTACCTCCATGATCCATGCCGGTGCACCCCATTTTCTGTGGCCGTTCGCCATTCGCTATGCCGCTCACCAGCTTAACCTCTGGCCGCACCCTCAGCGGTCGCATGTTTCGCTGACCCTCCTCTGGACCAGGTCCCGTGCTGACATGTCTGCGTTCCACGTCTGGGGCTGCCTTGCTCACGTTCGTGCCTCTGGCACGGACAAGCTCACTGCCCGCACTGTCCCCTGTGCCTTCCGAGGTTTTCCCCTCAACTCGTCTGACTGGCAGTTCTACCACCCGCCTTCTCACCGGTTTTTTAACCCTCGTGACATCACTTTTGACGAGTCCGTCTCCTTCTACCATTGCTTTCCCCACCGTGGTCCCCCGGTCACTCCCCCCCAGTTCCTGGTGTCCCCCCTCCCCCGGTCGACCCTGTCCACCCCCCTCCCCGCCCTGCCCCGACTGGAGTGTCTCACGTCACCCCCCTCCCGTCGATTGTACCTGCTGAGGAGTCCGCTGACTCTCACGGCTCGGCGTAGTTTCATCCCCCACCTGTCCCTGCCCCAGTCTCGCCTTCCCTGTCGCCGCTGCTGTTGTCCCCGCCGCAGCCGCCTCCGCCGCTGCCGCCGCAGCAACAGCCACCGTCGTCACCGCCGCTTGGGTTCGTGCGTTCTGGGGGTGCTGGGGAGCGGGCTGGAGCTTGTTCTAGAGCGGGCTCTGGGGGTGCTGGCGTGGGGCTTCTATGAGGGAGCCGTGTTGTTGCTGGAGGTTCTGGTGTTGGAGTCGGGCAGCAATCGCAGCTGTCGCCGCCGGTGTCCGCTCTTCGCCTCCTCGGTCTCCCTTCCCCTGACCGCCCGTCGCTGCCTCCCCCTCTGCCGCCGCCTCCTCCTCTGCCGGACCACGGCCCCATGTTTCCTCCCTCGGACTCCTCTTAGGCTCTTTTCCCTCCCCGTTCTCCTCTTGTGTCTCCTCCCCTCTCTCCTGACCCGACTCCTCCGTCTCACGTCTGGTCTCGTCGTCCGTCTCGTGCTCGTCCTACCTCCCCTGTTCCGTGTTCTCACCCTATGTTGCTTCGCTCTTACGCGTCTCGTGCTCCTCCTCTCCTCCCGTCTCCTCCTCCATCGTCGCTTGCTTTTGGCCTGCCTCCCTTCTTGGACTTCCTTCGTGCTGCGGTTCCTCTTGTTCCTTGTGTCCTTGCCTCTCTCGTTACGGGCCCGTCCATTCACGTCTCGAGTCTGTCGACTCTTGTCGCTGCTGTCACTGAATTTGCCGCTACCCGCCGCCTAGACTAAGCCACCGCTCTGGTCTCTGACCCTGCCTGCCCTCCGGCCGTCGGGGGTGTGGCTGCTTTTGGCAGTGACGTCCACTGGACAGGTAGTTCGAGCTCGCTTTCCTGTCTGAGGCCGCTCCCCATCTCTGTTCCATGCTACTAGTCTTCAAGGCGCGCTACGTCGCTCAAGGCTTCAAATCAGCGTGAGGGGGTGGACTTCTTTTAGACCTTCGCCTCGACCCCGAAGATGACCACTCTTCGGGCATTGCTATACATAGCAGCACAGCGTGACTACGAGCTGCACTCCCTCGACTTCTCCACAGCTTTCCTCCAGGGCAGTCTACACGAGAAAGTCTACCTGCGCCGCCCCCGGGGCTTCTCCGGTACCTTCCCCCCTAGCACCGAGTGGCTCCTCCGGCGCCCCGTCTACGGCTTGCGATAGGCGCCCTGTGAGTGGCACGACATGCTGAATGCTACACTTGCTGACTTAAAGTTCTTCCCTTCGTCTGCAAACCCCTCGCTCTTTGTCCGTTCCAGCCAGACTTGATTCTACATCCTTGTCTACGTAGACGATCTGGTCTTTGCTACTGCAGACAGAGACGCACTTGCCGCCATGAAGGCCGACTGCTGAGGAGACATGCCTGCACTGACCTAGGAGAGCTGTGCTGCTACCTTGGCTTGCAGATCTCCATGGACAGAGCAGCGCACACCATCACTCTCTCACAGTCACACTTGGTGCGCCAGGTCCTTCAGAGGTTCGGCCTTCAGTTCACTTCCGCACAGCCCACCCCTCTGTCAGTAGACCACAGACTCTCAGCCCAAGTCCCTGAGGAGGCTGTAGAGCCTAGTGGTTCCTACGCAGAGTTGGTGGGTTGCCTTATGTACCTGATGACTTGCACTCGTCTAGATCTCGCATACCCTCTCAGCATCCTGGCTCGCTTTGTGGACCCCGGCAGAGACCGACCACAGCACTGGTCGGCAGCTAAGAGGGTTTTGCGTTATCTAGCAAGTACATTGGGCATGGGGCTAGTGCTAGGAGGACGGAGACCAATGGTCCTTACCGGGCACACAGACGCTTCTTGGGCAGACGACGCCGGGACTCTCAGGTCCTTACAAGGCTACTCCTTTAGCCTTGGTGCAGGTGCCATCTCGTGGAGGTCCACCCGTTCCTCGTCTGTTGCCCAGTCTAGCTGTAAGGTTGAGATCTACGCAGGTGCCGTGGCTGCACAAGAGCTCCGCTGGCTGACCTTCTTGCTCACCGACTTGGGTGAGCGGCCTAGCTCTGCCCCGGTTCTGTACGCTGACAACAAGGCCATGATCCTCCTGTGTCAGGAGCCACGACTTGAGGGCAGAGCGAAGCACATCCAGCTGCGCATCCTGATGCGCGAGTTGCAGCAGCGTCACTAGGCTCGTGTAGTACACTTGGCCTCAGGTGCCAACACAGCTGATATCTTTACTAAGGTGCTTGTGCCTAAAGATCATCAGCGGCACTGTGTACAGCTAGGTCTCGTTCCTGTAGCCTCTTACTTGCTAGGACCTTGATTGTGTTCAGACCTTTATAGATATTACCCTGATTGGCCTTGTGGCCTCTTCCTAGTGGCTGGACTAGTAGTGCTAACCTGGTCTTGCTCTTGCCTTGTCTATGTTGTGGTAAATGAAGTTTCTCATTCCTGCAAGTTCCGTTTTCAGTGTAGTTAGCAGTATCGAGTTTCTCAGTAAGTAAACAGGTCCGAGTGCTGATGTCAGCAAAGCATCGCGAGTCTCGGCATGACGTCAGCATATCGCTTGAGTTACGCGATTAGGCGTACGAACCGTTTCAGTCATGCGAACAGTCGCGACCCTATAGTATGACGAATAGGTCGCATAGCGCGATAGTGACAAACAGGTACATTAGCGAACAGGTACTTTTCCCTAGAGCTATAAATCCTTGTAATGCCTTTCTATTGTTAAAACCTTGACTTTCCACAGAATTATGTGCTCAGGTTATTCAACCTTCGACTACCCACAAGTTTATGAGCTCAGGTTCACTCTGATAAGACTTCCGCTGTCTTACTAGTCTACCATTCCAGCAAAGATCCTTGGTTAAGTACTCGTGTTTGTAGATTCTATACTTAGTCTCCTACTACACCAGACGATTTACTTCATGGTATGAGAGCTATCTGGAATTAAGACTACCATCAACTATGACTGGTTCATCACCAGCACCATCTGCTGGATCAGTTACCGGGACTACTGGAGCACATGTCTCCACTACCGCCGCTGGTCTCTCAGCCTCTGGGCACTTTCCACCAGCCTATGCTAATATTGGTATGCAAAATCCGCCTTCTGTGAATACTCCAGGTGCTCCATCGACTGCACTTGCAACGCAGCAGCAACAATCACAGACAACAGCACATCAACAAGCGTCAGTACAACCACCAGTTTCAACGCAATCGATTTCATCTGCGTTCAATGGAATGAGCCTTGACGGCTCAAGTTACATGCGTGGAGCTACAGCTCCAAGTACTGGTTCGTTCGCTTTCTCACCTTTCGTACAGCAGCCGCAGTCGCAGCAGTTTCAGCATCCTTTCTATATCTTCGGTCGTTCCCCTGCTCAGCAACAACAACAGCAGTATCAGCAACCACAGCCAGTACAGCAACAGCAACAACAGCGGCAACAACAACAACAGCAACAGCAACAGCAACAACAGCAACAGCCCGGCATTGTTTTTCAGCCTCCAAATTTACTTAACAATACTCAGATCAAGACAACCGTACCTTTTAATGGTGTTGACATCTACTCCTGGAGCTTTGAGTTTGAGCTTCTGGCGCAGTCCGCTGGGCTATGGCCGTTCTTCATTGGCGAGTTTACGTATCCTGTCGTGGGAACAAAACTGGAGCAGCAAAGTTTCTTGCATGCCTCTCTCGGGGCATATATAGTTCTTGTTCGAAACCTGTCGCCGAAGGAGCAACTCGGCGTTCGATCATTTCACTCAAGTTTTACACCAGCTGAAACTGCATGGAATCATCTGAAGGGGGTATACATGGCAAAGGATACGATAACAGTGAGTAAAATACTTTCGCAGCTGACAAGTGTGCAGATGATAACAAATGAAAATGTCATGGACTACGATAATCGTGTCCGTACACTACGCGATCAACTGGAGAAAAGTGGAGGATACTTCCCTCGTGAGATGTATCTCACGGTCCTTTTTGCTGGCCTTGGACCCGAATGGCGACAGACGCGCGCCTTCCTGCGCATGAACCCGAACCTCTCCGAAGCTGAAATTTCGTCGTATCTTCAAGCAGAACAGCAAGATCTTGACCTGCAGTTACAACGCAACAAAAGGGGGGATATACAACTCAGTTTCTATTCAACACCAACTCGACGTCCTCGACACTTCTGTCAAATTTGCAACAAGGGAGGACATTCTACCGACCGATGCTATTTTAACAAGAAGTATTTACCTCCTGAAGAATCGCAGACGACGCAATCATCACCGCAACTACGACAGCCTTCGAAGCAGTTTTTGCAGAAGCCTACGCCTCCAAAATCAGCATCTGCAATATCAACACCACCAACGACACTCAGTTCTGCCCCTCCAAGCAACTCATCAAAGCCGACAGCCACTACTTCAAACTCTGCCACTAATACGGTAACTTTAAATTTTCGTTTACCTACTTCATCCACTCACATGGTCAATTGCAGTACAGATACCGATACTTGGTACTTGGATAGTTATTGTGGCCATCATATGGTCTCTTCAACCAATCCTTTCATCTACAACCGTCGTCGACTTCTTCAACCCTGCCCAATCACACTCGCCAACGGTCAAACAATTTCAGCAGAAAATATCGGCAGTCTACTTTTGACATCAATCGATACGGGAAAGTCTTTATGCCTTACCAGCGTTTTACTCGTCGACAATCTTGGCTTCAATTTAGTGTCAACTCTTCAACTCTTGAAGAAGAAAATCCGCACGGTCGGAAACTGAACGATACAAGAGCAAGAGTTAATACATGATGTGGACAACACGTACATCGGAAGAGCAGCAACAAAAAATGGCGTATTCGTCTTACGCTTCAAGGCAGCAAAATCTTCCGAAGATGTCACTATCCCTCAAGCTCCTTCAATCATCGCAGCAGCCGCTTTGGTAACCGTTCCACCGATTGAACTCAGCAGCAGCGAAGAAGAAACTCCTAGTAGCAGCACCACCGACACACCTGCCGTTAATAGCAAGAAAGATATTAGTCACGAATATGAAGAAATTCTGCAACTCGCACCTGAAAATTTCTTCGACGCGACAACTACTCTCGACAAGCCTTCAGATACGTCTTCAACTACCAGTATCTCAGAAAAAGGTTATGCACTCTCAAGGTTTCTCCTACCTTCATATTTCATGCTCTTGATTCTTGCTTGGCTGGCCATAGCAGCAAGCGAGCTCTGTACCCCGCTGCAAACTTTCCTACACTACAGAGAAGCCGCTTACCAGACTACGACTTCCAACGTCTACGAGCAAGGCACTGGCATCAACTGCTACCAAACCCCTCGTCATCGCGTTCAACAATGCAATGAAGCAGAAGGGTTGAACAGTACCCTACACGACCTACGTGAGCAGCTGCATGCACTGCTGACTCAACAAATTTCTCTGCCCGAAACTGTACCATCAGATCTGCCCGTCACTTAACGGTTCTTTGTCAAACCTCCGGATGATGTCGAGGCTACTCTCCACTACGTGCAACACTCTCGTGGTTTTGCATTCGTCCCCTTCGGCCTTGCCACGTTCATTGGCGCAACCCCAACCACTTTCAACCCGACTCATTTTTACTCTGCCGAAGTGAGGGGGGGAAGGAGGATCTACACGCACTTCGTCAAAGCCAAAATTCGTCATCAACAAGGGAAGCACGCGATTGGTCTACCATTTGACCAATGGAATGACCGCCGACTACTTACAGCACATGAAGTTTACACTCCAGAAGATTCCAAATTGCAGATTTCATTCGCCGGACTCCAACCACGACGTGACTACATCGAACTTCCAGGAATGAAGGGGAGTGTTGTGGTAAATGAAGTTTCGCATTCCTGCAAGTTCCGTTTTCAGTGTAGTTAGCAGTATCGAGTTTCTCAGTAAGTAAACAGGTCCGAGTGCTGATGTCAGCAAAGCATCGCGAGTCTCGGCATGACGTCAGCATATCGATTCAGTTACGCAATTAGGCGTAACGAACCGTTTCAGTCATGCGAACAGTCGCGACCCTATAGTATGACGAATAGGTCGCATAGCGCGATAGTGACAAACAGGTACATTAGCGAACAGGTACTTTTCCCTAGAGCTATAAATCCTTGTAATGCCTTTCTATTATTAAAACCTTGACTTTCCACAGAATTATGTGCTCAGGTTATTCAACCTTCGACTACCCACAGGGTTGTGGGTTGTGCCTTAGGGAGTACAACCCATTAGGTTATATTTGTCAAACATGTGTATTTGTTATGTTTGCATAGACTGTATAGGGTCACCTCTTAGAGGGTACAATACTTAGGTATATCTATCTGTACTCTCCCTCTACCCTATTCATTCACTTCTCTCACTTTGATATCATATCACGCGTAGGTTAGGATCCCCCCCCACCTACCGTTTTCGCTCGTCCCCTAGCTAGGCCCCGCCGTGCCTCCCCCCCCTAGCCCCATCGCGACCCACTGGGCCCCGTCGTGCCCCTAGCTCTGCCGCGCCCCTCCTGGGCCCCATCGCGACCCTCTAGCCCAGTCGCGACCCCCTAAGCCCCGTCGCGACCCCCTAGCCTTGTCGCGCCCTCCTCGCCCCGTCGCGCCCCTCGTGGGCCCCTCGTGGGCCCCGTCGCGCCCTCTCCTGGGCCCCTTCTGGGCCCCATAGTGCCCCTCATGGGCCCCGTAGCGCCCCTCCTGGGCCCCGTCGCGCCCCTCCTGGGCCCCGTAGTGCCCCTCCTGGGCCCCGTCGCGCCCCCTCCTGGGCCCCTCCTGGGACACGTAGTGCCCCTCCTGGGCCCCGTAACGCCCCTCCTGGGCCCCCGTAACGCCCCTCCTGGGCCCCGTAGCGCCCCTCCTGGGCCCCGTCAAGCCTTCAGGCCCCGTCGCGCCCTGCCCGGCCCCGTCGCCCCCCCTGCCCGGCCCCGTCGCACCTGCCCGGCCCCGTCGCACCCGCCCGGCCCCGTCGCACCCGCCCGGCCCCGTCGCACCCTGCCCGGCCCCGTCGCACCCGCCCGGCCCCGACGCACCCGCCCGGCCCCGTCGCACCTGCCCGGCCCCGTCGCGCCCGCCCGGCCCCGCCGCCCTCGCCCGGCCCTGTCGCACCCGCCCGGCCCCGTCGCACCGGCCCGGCCCCGTCGCGCCCGCCCGGCCCCGTCGCACCCGCCCGGCCCCGTCGCACCGGCCCGGCCCCGTCGCACCCGCCCGGCCCCGTCGCACCGGCCCGGCCCCGTCGCACTCGCCTGGCCCCGTTGCGCCCTGCCCGGCCCCTGCACTCATCCCTGCCCCGGCCCCTTCATCCTCATTGGTACGGTTCCCCCCCCCCCCCCCCCCCTCCCTGCACCGCACTGCACCGCCCTGCACCGCCCCGCACCGCACTGCACTGCCCTGCCCCGCACTGCACCGCCCTGCACTGCTCTGCTTTGCACTGCACTTCACTGCACCGTACTGTCCCGTCCTGCACTGCCCCTGATGGCGGCGGAGCTTCGCTTCGACGCTGAAGGCCAGCCTCTGGCGTTCGAGGCGTGGCTTGCTGACCTCCGGCGCCAACTCACTGGCCAGTGGCAAGATGGTGAACCGCTTTCCGCACACCTTGACGGTACGCTCCCCTGCCCGGACCCCCCTGCTATTCTGCCCGCTGACTCCACACCCACTGAGCGCGAGTCTACTGCTGCTACTGCCCGTGCGCGCTCTGTCTGGCTTTCTCGCGATGCTGTCGCCCAGCTTGCCATTAGCAACGCCCTTCCCCCGTCCGAGCGCCCTCGCTTTAGGTCCCTCATTACTGCTCAGGCATACTTAGATGCTGTCATCAAGCGCTATTCCACCCCTCCGGCTGCCTCGGTGGGTCGCCTGATCCTCCCGATGCTCTTTCCTGACCTTGCATCTTTCCCCACTGTCTCTGACCTCGCTGCCCACCTGCGCTCAATAGATGAGACCTGGCGCGCTGCCTGCACTGACGCACAGCTTAGAGCCCACCAGCCGCCCATTACCTCTACCCTTTACCTGCTTGCCACCCGCCTCCCTGACCGCCTTGCTGTCGCCCGCGACCGCTTCCTTAGCGTTCACCCCGCAGACCTCACCCTCACTGACTTTGTCGACACCCTGACTGTAATTGAGACCCGCCACCGCTCCATCGCCCAGGCGAGCGGTACCGTGCCGGTCCCTATCTTTCAGGGTTGTGCCCTCGCTCAGTGTACCTTCTCCGCCGACTCTGCCGCTGTGGCTGAGACTGCTGCTGCAGCGCAGTTTCGTTCGGGGAAGGGCTGCCGCCTCAAGGTTGGGCGCGGCGGAGGAGGAGGGGGTGCGGGAGGGGGTGGTGGCGGAGTTGGGTCGTCTGGTGCTGGAGCGGACGAGGGGACCCTTCCCAGTCCAGCTGAGCCGCTGCCCCTGCAGGCGCAGCAGCAGCAGCCGCAGCAGCCGCAGCCTTTGCAGCAGCCGCAGCAGCCGCCACAGCCGAGGCAGACGAGTGTCCTCCCGCCCGGGTGGGCCGGCGCTGGTGGTGGTCGGGCTCGTGGTGGTGTGCCGAGTGGTGGTTCCGGGAGCGTGCGTTGTCAGTACCAGATCCAGACCGGTCCTCGCCGCGGTTTCGTTTGCGGTAAGATCGGCCACTCCACTCCCCGCTGTTTTCGTCGCCTTGACGACCTGTTTCGTCAGCGCTTCGGCCCGTCGCCAGACCTCCCGGACTGGCACAACATGCTTAGACGTAGTATTCCGATTTTTGACTTGGACATGGATGCCATTGTTGCTGCTCTGCATGTGATGTATGCTGATGACACTAGTGTGCTTCCCGCTTATTATTTACTGTCATCTAGTGTAGGTGTGCCTAGCTTAGCCTCCCCTGCTGCGTCAGGCGTAGGATCCCCTGCTTTGTTTAGTCTTGGTGCTTCCGCCGTCGTCCCGATGCCAGTCGCCTCTGCTTCGCATTCCTTCACCTTGGACTCTGGCGCTTCCCGGTGCTTCTTCCGCGACTCCACTATACTGACGCCGCTTCCTGTTCCTGCTGCCGTTTCTCTTGCTGACCCCTCCGGCGGTCCGGTAGTCGCCCGCAGTTCCACCACCCTTCCCTGTCCGGCGGTTCCTTCGGGCTCTCTTACAGGTTGCATATCCCCTCGTTCTCCAGGAACCTAGTTGGTGTCGGCTGCCTCCAGGACCTTGGCGTCACCACTACGTTCCCTGGTCACGAG